GTGTGTTCCCCCACTGTACACCCCCCCAGTCGTGCGAACCCTGGCTACCCCCTCGAGTCGGCCGCCGGAGGTTTTGTTTATGGTTGGGTTCGCGGCCTAGTGGGCCTCACCAGAGCCGGGGCCTCGATTTGGGAGCGTGGCCGGGGCGGGGCTTTGGGCAGCCGGAGGGGGGGGCATGCGGCTAGAGCCTGAGGTGGGGGAGAGCGAGAAAGCGCGAGCGAGCGAGGCCTGGGCCCCGCCTGAGGTACGGCCCTGTCTACCCCGGCCGGTGCCTGTGGAGAAGACGAGGGGCCTCCTCCCTTTCCAACCCTCTGTGGGCCTCTTCTGATCCGGATCCGGCCTGGTTTGGGGGTGGCGGAGGGGAGGGAGGGCGATGGGGTGGAGCTGCCCCAAACTCCCCCATGTGGTCCTCAGTTTGGAGTGCGGGGGATTAAATTGTTCCGGGTGGGAGGTAAGGAGATGTGGCGCTGCTGAGCGGGGTGAGCCTTTCATCCTTAACGCGTGGGCTTGCGTCCCCTCTCCGTTTCCAGCTTCTTTGTCAGCTCTTCTTATTACCCTTCCTCCTTTCTCACTGCCCCAGCTCTTGGATTATATTTTTTGCTGCTGTCTTTAGCTTTTTGTTGTCCATACTGTAGTTTAGGGTACCCCCCCAAAATTATGATGTTATTTGGGAAGCTGGACATGGAGGCCCCCATCGGGTGCGTTACGCCTAAGGGACGTCACTAGAGCACTGGGGTATTTGTTCACTCTTCTCATAATGGGACAGTAATTCCAAATTTCTTCACACCCTTCACCCTGTGGGCAGCCCCTAAATTTGCTTTCCAAACTGATGTCACAAACAGGAGACTGCTCCTTTTCCACCATTCTTGAAATGTAGTCACTTCTGGTGTAGGATGTTGTGGAAAGAAAACCACCACAGTAATTGGCGTTTTTGTTATCGTTTTGTCTTTGACTGTCCCTGATTATTAGATGGAGAAATCCTTTTTTTGTTTCTCCCCATCCACCTCCCACTGCCCATATTTTGCTTTGGGGATATTTGATGTAATGTAACTTGACGGGAGGTGATGAGGATCAGTGACAACCAGCATTAATAGACAACTGAAACGTTTTGACTGGGAATGGGTTGATAAAACTGCTTTGAGATCCTACACCATTGTCTTTAAAGGTTAGACTATGCCAGTGATTATTTCCGTTATGAACAGGAAGTATTTCTGGCATGAAACTAATGATGAAAGACCTTAAAACGTACTGTTTGTTTTTTATTTTTAAAATTCCCTCCATATTAAACATGTCCTAACTGGGAAGTACTCTTTTTAAAAATTAGATCCAAGTTCATGGGAAGGAGATGAAGGGGTCATTACCACAAAACATCTAGGGGAATTAGTCACTCTGTTAGAGGTAGTAAGCCTTACCCCAATCCAGCTTCAGAGTTTCTGAATTGTTTCTCATATTAGATTGTAAGCTCCCTGAGGGCAGCAACCAAGTCATATTGCTTTTGTATTTTCTAAAGTACTGGACACAGTAGATACTCAATAAATACTTGTTATTTATTTTTTTCTGTAAAATTTCTCTGGCTATTTTTTTAAGTAGCTGGTTTTCAAAAAATGGTTAAGGGCACTCCTGTGTTGAAACCTGTATTTGTTCCCTCACTAGTCCCTTGGTCTCCGATACTTCTCACCTATTTCCCTTAAACATTTTAATTTTTTTAAGAAAGAATATTTAACAAGCTTCCTCACCTCCACTGTGATAACTCTGGGTATGTGTCTGTGCTTGCGACTGAAAGGCTACTAATTTTGTGACCTCCCAGTGATCCATCCCAGGTCACTTACCTGTTGCTCAGTGTTGTTACTACCTAGGTGGTAAAATTTTCTTAGTTGTATTTTTCAAAGCACCTGTAAGAGAAAAATAGAAATTAATAGCAAGAATGATCAGGAGGATTTTCCCCCCTTTTCCTGAGTGATTATGCAGCTTCCAAGATGACTTTTAATATATTTACATGGATTGGTACAGTATATGCAGTCATCCACATAGCTAACTAGTCATGCAATCCATAGCTGTAGTGTAAATCATGCTCACAAATTGAAATCATATGTAGAGTAGAAAGCAGTTGATAGTTGTAAGTTACAGGAGTGGCTACCCTCATATTAGAAACTAGATCTTAGAGCCAATTATTAGCATAATGGTTTTCATCTAATTTTAATTCTTTTTTTGCTTTGATTTGAATCCAGGGGTACTTGGTTAAACAACACTGTTTTTTGTTTGTTTGTTTTTGCAAATTAAGTGTTGAAACTTTACTATAATGCCAGCCTGGGAAACTTGACTACTGTGTAGCAAATAATCTTCTATTGGCTAGAATATTTTTAGGTCTTTGTGTGCACATGTGTGTAAGGGGAGAGGTTAGGGTTAAAAATTAGTCCCTTAAAACTCTTTCTTAGTGATAGAGGATGTAGAATTCTTAATTCTTAATGACTGCATCACAAAACAAAGACCTATGCAACCTATTGACCCAACCTGGTGAAGAATTTACCCATAAAGAAGTCAACTTTTTTTGTGATCCAAGAAACAGGTTACTTCCCTAATAGTTAATCCTTCAATATTTCTTTAGGAGTCCACTCTCCCTCTCCCTCAAATCCAGCAGTCTTCTGAGCAGTCTAGAATTACTGCTTGGTTAATAGAGTATTAACCAAAAAATAAATAAGTGAGCATAAAAGCATAAACTTGCACTCATTGGAAGGGAATAAAGCAATGCAGAGTAACCTCTTATTTTGAGCACTCCATCATACGATGAATGTTTCTTTTGTTTACTAAGTCATCTTGCCCCACAATAATGTCTCGTTTAAACTGATTTCCCAGAAGCCCGTTCTTCCAAATAAAACTTTGTGCTAGATAATTTAGGTTTGGTACAGATTTGGTATTCTCTGTATATTAAGGTGAGTGGTGGAGGGTAATTTTAATTCTGGTTTCTTGGACTGGGAATTAGGGGACCAAAAGAAGCAGCAGCAAAAGCAGTGTGTTGGAATTACCCAGGGAACAGAGATTGTGGGCAAAGTTGCTGGGGCTAATAACATGCCTTGTGGAAGGCTATGGAAGCCCCCACAGCCTGCTGAGAGATAGAAACTTAAAGGAAAAAGAGGCTAGACTTGAGCTTATGCTTTTTCAAATGATGGAGGTCACATGCAACTCAAGTTAAAGGGTTGTAAGGCAGGTAAGGTTGTTTTTATAGGTGAACTGAGTACAGTATTTAAAATTTTTTTTATTTGGAGTGTAGACTAATCCCCTTCCTGGAAGACTTGTTTCCAGGCTTCGATTATCTTTCCTTATGTCAAGCGGACTGTAGATATTTTTACCTATGTAGAAGGCTTTTGATTAACATTGTTTACTATCAAGATAGCAAAATTTCATAAAACCTGCTTATAGGGGACTAGTAACCAAACTGTGCCCATAACTTAAACACCATTATTTAACACATACTTTATACATCTTATTATACAAAATGGATTAACATACATAGTTCCATAAGGAATTTGTCAAACTAAATATGTCTGAAGAACAGGTGAATACTCTTGGTTTGTTTCTTTGAAGGAATGAAAGTGTTCAGTGAAGGTGCTGATGAAAGAGGTTGAAAACATATTTTGCCCACATTTAACATCTAAACTTTTTTTTTTAATCTTTCAGCATTCTACCTTGTAAATACTGTTATTTGTATATACTGTAAATGATGACATCGGTGGGCACTAACCGAGCCCGGGGAAACTGGGAACAACCTCAAAACCAAAACCAGACACAGCACAAGCAACGGCCACAGGTAAAGAATCCAAGGATTATGGATCCATGGGTAGCCTTGCTGGTTTCTGTCCAATGCAGCAGCATTCTGTGCTTTGGATTCTTGATTTGGGTTTTTCTTATTTTCAGGCACTTGCCTCTTTTTACTTGGGGCCTGATAACTGCTAATGACATGCTCTGATGTAATGCTCTTTTCTTTAATACTGAATTATGAGGCTTGGAAAGAATGGCTCTTGTGCTTTGTATCTCTAAGATAGCATTTCCTTTCTTTCATCTGGGTTGTTTTAGCAATACATTTCTTGTTTTCCAGACCTTCCACCTTGACATCTTTCTAGCCCACCTTTGTCTTGCCACCTTTTGCCTTTCTTTGTTCTTCTTTTTCATAACATATCTGTTATCTTTCTTTCTGGTCTCATTGAGGCCTAATATGGTATTTACTTTTCCGTGAGGAGTTACCATCTTTGCCATTTTCCTTCAAAATTAACAGTGAGACCCCTAGAGTATTGCTCATTTTTAAGGAATAAATTTGCCTCCTGGGTACTGAGGTTTATGGGTTTTTGTTTGTTTTTTAAAGTTTGATTTAGGTATGATCTGTTTACTATAACCAGTTTGGTGTTGGTATGTAATGTAAATGAATTAACTTCCCATTTGGTTATGGTCAGATAAATTGAATAAGACTAGGACTTTCCTTTTGTTCATTTTTCTTACTCATTTTCCTTCTAAGTGAATTTCTAGCAGAATTTTAGTACTCAAGTAGTTCAGTGTCTCAGTTGGGACAATAAAATTTGTGGTATTTTTGAACATATACTGGATACTCAGAAGATATGCTGACTCTATCTTCAGGCTAAACCGTATGTCAGCCTTAGGAATAGGAGGGTGGCATTGGTTATTGCAGAAACAGGAACAGGGTTTGTGTACACATGACTTTGCAAATATATTAATGTGAATTAAGGTGTAGATGTTTCAAAGTGGTGCAGCTATCCCAATATAAAAGCCTCTTTAATGGAGAACATTGGTGGAAAAGCTTCCTGCTTTTTTTAGGGATTGTAGAATGAACTAGTACCAGCTTTACTCTTTGTTTTTTGTAATTGTGCTGATTTAAGCATCTTAAATGCCATTAGTGGGTTTTTTGTTTGTTTTGGTTTGTTAAATGTTTTTTTATTTTAGAGGAAGGGAGAGAGAACACGAGAAACATTGATGTGAGAGAGAAACATCAAGCATTTGCCTCCCACCTGTGCCCTAACTGGGAATCAAACCCGCCACCATTCGGTGCATGGGATGACGCTCCAAACAACTGAGCCACACTGGCCAGGGCTGTTAGTGTTTTATTACTTGGTCATTTGTAACAAGAAGGAAATTGGGGTGGGAGGTATAGTGGATATTGACTACATATGTCCTTCTTTCTCTAAACATGTCTGTTGTTCATGCTTTTTTTTTTTTTTAAATTGTCTCAATTCTTAGGCCACTGCGGAACAAATTCGACTTGCACAGATGATTTCAGACCATAATGACGCTGACTTTGAGGAAAAGGTGAAACAAGTGAGTATATTGCTAATTTGATGTAAGCTATGGGAAAAAAACTTCTGGATTAATGCATAGATGCCTACCAGGGTACTTTCTATTATAGGTATTAAAAGAGTTACGACCTGAAATATGATAGGTTAAGCCAATAAATAAGTGCTTTTATTGTTTGATTTACCCTACCCCTTTGGGCAGATACCTTGTTCAGAGGTTTTGTCGTAATTTTAATCTCTTGTTTAATGAATGACTTTGTTGAAGCCCTTTTATAGCAACTTTGAGTGGTTGTGGCATCTAGGAAATGTGGAAATTCATGGTATGCTGAAGTCTGTGTGTTTCTGGGTCTGATTTTCTGTTAGATGCTTTATTGTTTGATTGCTTTGTATGTAAATCCTTTTGACCCCACTTTTGGTCACAGGTATTTTTTGCTTTTGGAACTAGAACACCAAAATTCTGCTTTGCTTTTTTTTTAAGCCTGTTTCAAACTTAGCTGGTGTTTTCTCTTTTCTTCACCTAGGCTTTTTTTGGGGGGCGGGGGGTACAAACTTGTTCATCATCATTGCTGACCTTTCTTTTTCAGTTGATTGATATCACAGGCAAGAACCAGGATGAATGTGTCATTGCTTTGCATGACTGCAATGGAGATGTCAATAGAGCCATCAATGTACTGCTGGAAGGAAACCCAGATACGGTACAGTACTAATAAAATGTTTTAGAAAGTGGATCCCTGGCTGAGATGCTAGTAATATGCTAAAAATAGCAAATGGGGTAACTCAATTTAAAGCAGAGTACCTCATTCAAGTAGAACTGGGAACTACCTTGGAGATTGTTTGCTGCAGGTTGCAAATACTTAAAATTAATGTACAATAAACAGGAGAAAACAGATTAAATCAAGCTCTTATTGCTCTGGAATAAATTATTCATTCTAGGCTAGTGACTGTTTTTAGGACTGGATTAGTCTGAATTAGAGGTGCTATTTCATAGCCTTAGCTGCTAATCAGGGAAGACTTCTGCTCACCTATTTTACTGCTATTGAGCAAAGTTACAAACTACTGGATTTTGATTTCGGCACATTCCCATCAATATCATATTTTTATTTTCCAATACCTTTTCATCATGTGAACTTATTTCTGTTGAGGCAGCAGAGAACTAAATTTTATAGCCTTTTGACTATCCCTGGAGATGATAAGGGAATATCTTGGAGGACCTCTTACTCTAGAATTTAGAATTGCTTTTACCTTTTCCTCTAATTCCCATGTAATGTGAATCCTGTGTTTTTGTGCTTGCAACAGAGAGTTCTGCCTTACTAATTTGGGATGTTTCTGCAGTGTTTAATAGAGAACTTTATTTTTACTTTTTTTTTTTAATGAGCAGTGTATCATTTTGAGGTAATTTTCATTTACTTGGTCTTACATTTGGGACTTTTAGTTGGGATAGAGAACCAGAGTTCATCCTTTGAGTGATCAACTTACTGATGTTATAGTATCACTTTAGCTAAATGTTGGAGGTTTGTCAGTTTCCCTTAGAGAATGGGAAATCATAGTGGAAAACTTTTTTTAATCATTGAATTTAAATTTGTGGCTTTTTCTCTTTAAAAGTGTGGTCTCGGGTTTGATTTTACATTATTTACTTTATTTGAAAATTATTGCCTGGACAATCACATAACAGTGACATGGTTCATTTTGAGTTTATTCTAGAGTAATTGTCTCAAGACTTTTTTGGAGGGGAAGAGGTAGGACTGACTACTCATGCTGTCTATCTATCATCTGTCTATCATCTCTATCTATCTATCTATCTATCTATCTATCTATCTATCTATCATCTATCTATCTAACATCTATTTATTTTGATCCTCACCTGAGGATATTTTTTCCATTGGTTTTCAGAGAGAGTGGGGGGGAGAGAGAGAGAGCGAAACATCGATTTCAGAGAGAGACATCAATTGGTTGCCTCCTGCATGTGCCCCAACCAGGGCCAGGGATGGAGCCTGCAACCGAGGTATGTGCCCTTGGCTGGAATCGAACCCAGGACCTCCCAGTCCTTGGGCTGATGCTCTCACCGCTGAGCCAAACTGGCTAGGGCTACTTATGCTTTTTAAGAGTTTAATTTTGCACAAGTCACATTTTGTTTCACCTTCCAGCATCTCCTGCCTTGTGCTTCAAGTTTGAACTTCTACAGTATCAAAAAAGAAAAGTAAACTGGAGCCTTGGCTGGTGTGACTCAGTGGTGAGAGTGTTGGCCTGTATACTGAAGGGTTGTGGGTTCAATTTCTGATCAAGGGCATGTGTAGGAGGCAGCCAGTTGATGTCTCTCTCACATTGATGTTTCTTTTTCTCCTCCTTCCTCTCTTCCACGCTCTCTAAAAGTCAATGGGGAAAAATATCCTCAGGTGAGGATTTTTAAAAATTAAAAAAAAAAATAGAAAACTGGACAATGTGGGCTTATGCTACAAATAAATCAGGCACTAGTGAAACCAATGAGAAGCAAAGTCAGCTGCCAGGGATGTTGGATGTATTTGGGTGGATGCGATCATATCAGAAAACTGGCAGTATCTTTGGGAAGATCGTAGTAATTCTCTTTCCTTACATAAGTCATCTGGTGCTAGCAGCTAATGTATACCACAGAGGGAAAAGGTGACAGGTTTCTGAAACTTGCCAGGTTTTGAGACAGACTAGCAAAAACTCTAAAAGCTAGCTGTTTTGAGTCTGGTTTCCACAGTTTCTGATGCAGATTTAGCTATAGGGTTGTGATAGCTTATGAATTGAAGCTGCTGTGAGCATAAAATAATCCACCAGCTGTAATGTGGAATCAACTTGGGTTGGAAGAGTAGGCACCAAGGAGCTGCTGAGTCCCAGGTGGATAATATATATATATTTTTTAATTACTTATGTAAACTATTGTAGACTTTAGAATATGTAGATAAGTTTTTAGTATAATTTTAAATTTACGGTTTTTGCACTTAAAAACTTTGAATTTTGGTAAAATATACTTAAAATTTACTGTTTTAACCATTTTTAAGTGTATAATTTAGTGGCATTAAGTACATTGACAAAGTCATACAGACGTTACTACTATTCATTTTCAGTTTTTCATTTCTCAGACTGAGTCGAAAATAGATTTCCTGTATTCATTAAATAGTAACTCCTCATTTCCCCGTCCCATCAGCTTCTGGAAACCTCTTCTATTTTCTGTTTCTATGAATTTGCCTGTTCTGGGTACCTCATATAAGTAAAATCATATAATATACTTGTCCTTTTGTGTGTTATTTCACTTAGCATAATGTTTTCAAGGTTTATATTGTGGCATGTATCACAATTCCTTTTTTTTTTTTTTTAAGGCTTGATAATCCAGTATATGTATATGCCACATTTTGTTTATCCATTCATCCATGGATGGATACTTGGAATTATTTGAAAGTAATTTGTAGATATCATAATATTTTGTTCCCTGAATGTTTCAGTATGCTTCCCTTAAACAAGGATAATCTTTTTTGTTGTTGTTAATCCTTACCTGAGGATTTTATTTTTTTAAAATATATTTTTATTGATCTCAGAGAGGAAGGGAGAGAGGGAGAGAGAGGTGAAACATCACTGATGAGAGAGTCATCATTGATCGGCTGTCTCCTGCATGCCCCTGACTGGGGATTGAGCCCTCAACCTGGACATGTGCCCTGGCCAGGAATTGAACCGTGACCTGGATCCTAGGCCTCAAGTGGCTGGGCCTGAGGATATTTTTTCATTGATTTTTAGAGAGAGTGGAAGGGAGGGAGAGAGAGAGAGAAACATTGGTGTGAGAGAGACATCGATTGGTTGCCTCCTGCAGGTACCCTGACCGGGATCCAGGATTGAACCTGCAACCCAGGTATGTGCCCTTGACCAGGCATCGAATCTGCAACCCTTCAGTGTGAGGGCGGACGGTCTATCCACTGAGCCATTGAGGCCAGGGTGAAGGGTCATCTTTTACATGACCACAATATTATCAACCCTGAGAAAATTAGTAGTAATTTTATATTATACCTGGTTCATATTCCTTTTTTTCTTTTATTCTCATTCAAGGATATGTTTATTGATTTTAGAGAGGAAGGGACAGGGAGAAACATTGATCAGTTGCCTCTTGTAGGTGCCTGAACTAGCAACATTTTGATGTATGGGATGATACTTCAATCACCTGAGCCACCTGGCCAGGGCCTGGTTCATATTCTTGAAAGCTATTTGATACTAGATAGCAGTTGCTGATCATTAGGGCCATTGTTGTTTGAGTTAGATGGTAGCTGGGATAGTAAAGATCTGGTAGTTTGGATGTTTGTCCTGGAACTTTTATTTGTATGTATTTTCTGAAAAAATATGTGTAAATTAAGATATGTATATGTTTAAAACTTTAAATTTATAAAACTCATTTTCTTAAAGAATGAGTGTTTTATAAGACTGTTTAGCTTATTTTCTTTATCACAAATTTTCCTTCTGGAATAAATTATAAAATACTCTGTTTTGGAGAAAGCTGAATTGGATTATATTAGTTTAGAAAGTGTAGGGGAGAACACAGTGTATAAAACCTTCAAGGTAACTTTTAGAAACTTTCAGGGCTGGCTGGGCGTGGCTCAGCGGTTGCGCCTCGACCTAGGATCCAGGCGATCGGGGTTCGATTCCCGGTCAGGGCACATGCCCGGGTTGCGGGCTCGATCAATGACTCTCATCATTGGTGTTTCTGTCTCTCTCTCTCTCCCTCTCCTTTCCTCTCTCTGAAATCAATAAAGATATATTTAAAAAAAAACAAAAAACTTTCAGTTTTCTTTTTTTGCTTTATTTGACATAAATAACACTATAAAAGGTTGGGAATCACTGAATCCTTAGGAAATTAGTTTTTTCAGCTAAGGAAATACACTTGAAAGCCAGGGACCAGTAACTAGGCCCTTTAACTAACATGCCAAGTAACTGAACTGGATAGGGATCTTGGTGATCCTTTTGGAAGTGATCCCTGCAGTGTTAGCACCTCTCCCTACAAAAAGAACTTCAGTTTTATAGTGTTAGGTGTAGAGTTTGTTTTTAAGGTTCTTTTTGTACCCTCCATTTAAATATAAACTAGTTAGAGGTATTTTAGATTAGGATGCCGAGAGGAGAATGTTTAACAGTTCCTGCTTTTATCTCTGGTTTCCTGATATCAATCCATGTTGCTTAGATATGAATGCTCTGCCCTTCTTTAGCATTCCTGGGAGATGGTCGGGAAGAAGAAGGGAGTCTCAGGACAGAAGGATGGTGGCCAAATGGAATCCAACGAGGAAGGCAAAGAAAATCGAGACCGGGACAGGGACTATAGTCGGAGACGTGGTGGGCCACCAAGACGGGGAAGAGGTGCCAGCCGTGGACGAGAATGTATGCATGGGGCTTTAACAAAACCAGCTGTGGGTCAGTAATGTCCAGATTTCAGGGGTGTCAAGGCCCTGCCAGGCTGGACCTACTAACCATTATATCACCTTTTTTATTTTTCTTGCCATTACCTCTTCTGAGACCTTGGTGTCTCTTACATTAGCCTTTTCTAGCAGCAACTACCAGTTTGATATGAAATTATCCTGTAGCCATTTGTAAAGTTTGACTTAGCTCTCTGTTGTGGTTCATCACCATTCCTTTAGTAACCATCATGTTCCATCCTTCCAGCTCATTTTTCTCTCGTTTTTGTCTTCCCACCAGTATGTGTGTGTATATATATGTACACACATACATAAATATATACACACACCACTTATATATTTATATACATACCACTTATATGTTTACGTATATTCTGTTGACTCTGCTCAGGCCATCTGTGTTTTGTTTCCACCAGTTCGGGGTCAGGAAAATGGATTAGATGGCACCAAGAGTGGAGGGCCTTCTGGAAGAGGCACAGAAAGAGGCAGAAGAGGTCGTGGACGAGGCAGAGGTGATTATTTTGGTGGGGGGAGGGCTGGATATTGGGGGTGCTTACTAGTTTTATAAGGGTCTACATTATTTAAAAACAAATTCTTATGGATTCTAGTTACCTAATTTCATGCAAATTTTGGAGGTGCCAGGTGGGCAGTGAGAAGATGTATGTTACTTCCTCTAGTCTTACTGTTGATATACTGTATTTGCTAGAGGACCAGGCAGTCTGATCAGCAAAGGAACATTCTGTCAATAGTAATGATTTTCCTACTACGTTACATTAACTGATGCACTACAGAATGAGAAAAAGAATATCTGATATATGAACCACCTAATATTCCAGAGCTACCTCAGTTGGCAAGTTAGTTTTGTATTAACTTCTACATTTCTGTCTTTTTCTCTTTCCTTAGGTGGTTCTGGTAGGCGGGGAGGAAGGTTTTCTGCTCAAGGAATGGGGTAAGTTTCATTGATCCTATGTCAAAGTCTTTCATTTTTCCCCCCTAAGCATCACCATAATATTTTAGAGTGGCTAATATCCTGATATCCTAAGGATAATAGTAGGCAGCCTTAACCAAAATGTAGAAAAAAGATGTCTAGATTATTTAACCAGAAAGGTGTGTACTTAGGGCTTATTTTTTAGGGAAAAGCATTTACCACCTGGATCATTATCATAGTTTCATTTGAATGCATATACCTAATACTCAAAATCTTCCTGTGGATTTTATTATGATTATTGGTATTCTAACCCAAAATGGATAGTAGATATAAATTGAGCTTATACCATGAAATTTTAGGTAGGCTGATAGGTGAGGAAAAGTTGACAGCATAGATTATAGAAAGGAGCCATGATTGATTAGTACTAGGAAAGGGTCAGTGAAGATTCTGATTGTTCTCCTCTTTGAGTTAATTTTCCTTGGTGCTGCTTAGATGTTGGAGACTCTTTTAAGCTTTTTTGTTGTTGTTCACCCCCCTC